ATGGAAATTTCACGTATGCCACATCTAGTTATAACTATATAAAAGTAACCGATGTAAGCCTATTTCGACTCTTAAACTATCTGTATGTAAAAATCTAAAATAACCTAACACATTCGCATTTCATTGCTACAATATAAGTGAAAGATTGGTAGTGATATAAGTGATCCTCTTTTAACTTCTATAAACAATTACAACATAAAACTAAATAGGCGTAATTTGAAACAATATGAAAAGTTATCTCATTTATATCATAAATGTGAAAGTTTAGAGGGATGTTTGGATGTTTATTACTCAATCACCCCAATTTAAATTTGGCACAGAGATAAATTATAGTCTGGAATAGCACATAAGCTAATTTTTATTCCGGAAAAATGTAGGGTTCCCGTGGGATAGATTTGTATTTGTTCTTCGTACTTTAATAAAGATTAAGAATGAATTTAAAAACACCATCTAATTCATGGTTTTTAAATAGTTTAGTGTTTCGGTCTTAACTGATAAACGATGCCGGAGGCAATATTAACTCTAGTTAGTATGCATAGAGTATTCAGTAATGATCATACAATTTATTGATTACTTTGATTTGCTTAAGACGAATATATGTTGAGAGCCTCTAAAGAATATGCACCGTCCAAACTTTACCGAAAAGAACTCGTAAGTGTTGGAACACCATCACTCTACTTATCTACGAATGGAACGTAATTTTATACTATAAAAGTATTTGATGGTCATATCATAATCAATTTTATGTAATACTAGCAGAACCCGCGGCTTCCTTCGCCCGCGTTCAATCTACAAAAAAAACTCTTTAGCTTTATGTTATATAGCGACTCACACTTCGCTCAGGTTCGTCCCTAGTTACGTTTTAACGGTTAGTTTAGATTTCCGAGAGTAGAAAATAATGTAAGTAGTAATATCGCTATTTTAATAAATAAGTAAAATATTTTTTGGGGTGGATCACCCTTATCACTAAGGGATATGAAAAATAGTTTACGTCCAACCTACTGAATATACACACAAAATTTCATAAGAATCGGTCAAGCCGTTTCTGAGGAATTTTGTTACAAACACTGTGACACGAGAATTTTATAGATGTTACGTTTATATGTGTAACTTTCAGAATTTTTGTTATTAAATATTATAAAAAAATCAATGGCAGTAGTTGATAATAATAAATGAATGATCGATATAAAATTTATAATCTTAAAGTTGTATATATATATCCTACATCCAAAATTAATTATTAAAAAATAAAGTTAACCATTATATTATAAATTTCCACAGTATTTGAAGCTTTTGCTATAATCAATACGAGGTATATAGAAATAGCGTCAGCCAGCACATAGCGCCATCTAGTTAAATATATTGAATCAACTGCAGACAAATAAAGCTAGTCATTAATTCTAAATTTCCTTTGCATTTTATTAAAACAAGATAAAATTTGTAATTAGATGATTTATTCAAGCTTTTACAAGCTAACGTGATGTTATAAATAGTTTGTTCTATGGGGAATGTGTTTTGAATGGGGGGTTATAATGATATACATTTTTAAAACTAGACTAGCTAAACGTCATTAGTTTGCTCGCTTTCTGAATTATCTCACAGGCACCACTTTAAGAAATAAAGAGTAAATGTCACTCGTCGGCTAATAAACTTCATGTTTCTTATAAAAAATACGCAAATACTTTGTTCTGTTTTTGCTTGAAACAAGCATATTTTCGTATTTCTCATAATATAAGTAGGACATACATTTGGACATCCAACATAAACATTTTTAGCAAACGGATATTGAATCTGCGACATTTGATGAACTAGGTAACGACAATCCAGCGTCCACACAACTTTAGTGTGATAAAAAAATAAAGTAAATTTAATTGGGCTATTGTTTCATAAAAGAAGCTAATATAAATACTTATAATAATCTATACAGATAAATAAAATTGAAGTGTCTGTTTGTAATGTCAAAATAACAGCTTCTTATTAAATGCATATGAAATTATATACGGTAAATATAAAAAAACGCATTTTTTTACAATTTTTGTCTATTTGTTTGTTCCAGCTAATCTCAGAAACACCTGGACTAATTTTGACGAGACTTTCACTGGCATATCTGATATGATGTCTGATGTTATATTTTGGAAAAAAAATTAGGGTTCCGCTCAAAAAAATTAAAACGCACCCAGGGCCTGAGCAAAGCGTGGGTAATTTGCTAGTAATTAATAAAAATATTTAATGATTTAATTACTAATTAATTATTATACTTGAGGCCAAGAACCAAAATCATAGTTTTCATTTGTATTCTCATTGCATAGTATTCTCATGACCCTGCTACTTTTCTTGCTAAGCCTACAATGGTTTTTTGTTATATATTTTTTTTAAATAAATAACTAGCTTTGTCACGCCTAAACCTAAAAAAACGCCGCACACCTAAACCTACCGCATGTCGTTGTTCTTGGTTTAAGTGCGTAGGTACTGAAGCACATTTGGTGATGTGTATATGTTTTTGCCTAATTTTGTTTATCATTTTTAATCGATTTCAAAAAAAGGAGAAGGTTCTCAATTCGGATGTTCATTTTTTTGTATGTCCCGCATAACCCCGTCATATATAGACGGATTTGCAAAATTCTTTTTTTGTTCGAAACAGGTTTATTCCTAAATGGTCCCACTTAAATTTAAAAAAAAAATCTACCCCTAAGTGTAGAAAATAGAAGGTGATTGAAAATTCACCTACTGAATGTTTAAAAAACTTTCTTATTATTTTGCTACTACCTAAAAAATAACAGATTGATAATTTTCATTTACTATAGATACCTACCTAAACAAATGTCTTCTAAGTTGGTGCCAGCCGATACACATCAAAGCACACTGAATTCGAAAATATCTAATTAAAGTAAATGAAAACTATCAATGAGTTATTTTTTACTTTTTAGTGTGTTTTTTTGAAATCGTTTTTTTCATTCGTTTAACATCTACATATTATATAATTCAAATTATAAGCAAATTAATACGTAACATTACACAAATCTGATATATTAAGTTTTCTAGCCTGTGGCTACGTGTGTCTATTTCAAATTAACGCGCTATTTCGTAGTTATATTCATATCGCATATTACAGTATGATAAACAAAAGTTCACATTTGTAGTGCTATATTTAATTAATCTTTTTAGGATCATAATATGATTATATTATATTGGGAGGGTTTATATTTTTGTTCCGACTAAGATCAAATCGACTTCCGAAAGCAAAGAATGATTGACAAATAAATAAAAAAATTCTGGAAAATCTTATTTGAATAGGCATTATAATCGATACAGACGCCGTAATATAGTTTTTAGATTTTTTGTCTGTTTGTCTGTGTCTGTCTGTCTGTGACCGCATGACGAGAAAACCAAGGAACAGATTTTGATAAAATTTGGTATGATGATAGCTGGTTATCCGGGTCAACATATAGGTAGGATACTTTTTACTGCGGGAAAATATCTCATCTCTGAAAAATCTATACCAAACCTTAAAACGTAACTTGGGACGAACCTGAGCGGAGCGTGTGTGAGTCGCTAGTATGAACTATATATTTTAAATTAAATAGTTTCATGATTGACATAGGTGACAGTTTAATAAACCAAAAAATCCAACACCTATTGCTATCATTAGATCACCTCGACGGTATTAAATGAGTGTTTTGTCATTCGGATTTTAGACTTACTAAGTTTGAAATCGATACGACAATTAGAAGTTTCTTAAAAACGTCTTCCAAAATTTGATTAAATAGTTATTTTGTACAAATGTAGCTAATAAAATCATGTTAAAATTCAAGGATTAAGACCTGTACTATTATTATAAGTTTTTCTTCAAAGATGAGACAATGAGACAGAGAAGAGACAATGTTTTAAAACAAAATAAATCTTTTTATTATCCTGCTAGTATTAAAATCTATAATTCGATAGTTAAATTTCAAATTCCGAAGTATAAGTAAAACAAACATGGCGCACGTTCAGAAACCGCACTACAGTAATGAGCACACCGCGATCGTCCTACTTACTAGGAAGTAACCGTTCCTGAACGTTGACGATATTTTGGCGGGAGTTGCATATCTTTATCAAATAGGTACTTATTTAGTTATAAAAAAAGATTTTTAAAACAAGTCACATTTTATTATTGTGGTATGCTAAAAGTACAAAACGGAAAACTGAATAAATAATACAATTTTATTTTGTAATTTTAAATACCATTGTTATTAGTAAAACGAATCAGGACATATGTACATAGCACACGTTCGAAAACCGCAGTGTAGTAATAAGTGCGAATCGCTTGGACTAAAGCTCGCACTATATTATAATTATTTTCTGCTAAAGTTTTTATTTAATGTACATATAATATATTATTTTATAAAAACAAGTTATTATGATATAAGTATCTAATATTATAAGTTAAAGTAGAAATGTAAGTTAAAAAATAAGCATATAAGTCATGTTTTATTGAAAAGTGCAAGTACTTTTAGTTCTGTTAAGGTTTTCGGCCCTCGAACGATAGTGACGGTTTGGCGGGAATCCTAGTTCTTAGTACTGACAGACATTACACAATGCGGCGCCACCTCGCGTTGTATGGCGCCAAACTATTCTTCCCGTGAAAATACTTTCCCAAGTTTTGCTTTCAATAAAGTTGGTTGTCAAATGGTCACTTTCCTTTTATTAAACAAAATTTAGAATTAATACATTTATGTTGAAATAATTAAAGTTTGAAATAGAATACTATTTCTCTTGTTCATAGAGATATGCTGCTTTTAATTACTCTAAAATAATTGTTTTTGTATACTTTGTTAACATTTACAGTAGTATGTTGTGGAAGATATTTGATCAACGTATATAAATTTTACATAACCTGAGAAATCATTAGTAGAGACGCATCAACTCGTAACTCTTTTCAATACTGCACTAACACTCTACATTTAAATGAAATCTCGGTTATTCTAAAAAGTACAAGTAACAACGTAACAAAGTACCTACGAGGTACATTTGAAAACGTTGCAGGTTTTCGAAAAACTAAAGAAAACGCGACATCTATGAGTGACGGCGCAAACTTCAGCAAGCAGAAATGCGTTTACAATCTTTATTATCAGCAGCGGTAATGGTACTACAAATTTAGTTCTTGCCCTACAAAAAGCGTTTCTCCTTTCATAATAATAAGAATACGTCGAGCGAGTCGGTCGGTTGGCGCGCTCGCTCGTTCGATACATACGGACGCGGCGCGCAGCGCCTGTGTGCTTGGGCGGCGTGGTGTGCGTGAGCACCCCGCCCGCCCGCGCGCCCCGCACCACCCGCGCCGCCCCGCGCTCGCGTCCACCGAACGTAGCTTTCTGTTCGCTTATATAACGACATACATATATACGCTCGGTAAATAATATACACTGTGAATAGCGAGCTATGTGCTGCCACCTAGCGGCCCGCTCGAATCGGCGCCACAGAATACTAAAGCCGAGTTTTTGATTTCTTCCATACGCCATACGACATTACACTCAAGGACCTTTAGTTTACTACTTTTATTTATTTTTGTGCGCTACTGGGAAACTTTATTTTTCCTTATGCACGAGTATAAATAATTATTTTTATAACTTTAAATAAGTTTTACGATATCTTTTTTTTATTACTGGAAATAATAAAAGGCACTGTGAACTTGTTTATTTATCATTTTACCAAAAAAATCGTAGGCCCTTAGTATCATTATGTGTAATTGCACTTTGTATTAACTTCTTAATTAGTCTCTGAAGTTAAGTACAAAGTATCTTTTATCAATGTACACTAATTTATAATTATATTACAATTAGAGTTAAATAACCACAAAAAGTCTATTTCTATATATTCTTACACTAAGAATACTACTCAAGTCTCGCATGATAGAGTTCGATTGCATCGAGGGTTCGCAGTCGTTTCCCTCAGCATATATTGCAGTTCAATCGCTGCAGTATAATATAATATGTTTAACTATAGTTAAGTTTCTTATAAGAAATACTGCTTAACTAATGCATTTTCACTTTTTATTAATATAAAAAATATTGAGATTTGCTAGTCTGTGGCTACTCGCGACTGGCAGGCGCTTGCCTTCGTAGGGTATTCTTTCGGTATTACGGCTCGACTTGGCTCGCCCCCCCCCCTGTGAGCTCGAGATCGAGCCAACTCGAGCAAGTCCGAGCCCGAACTCGAGCCCGCAGCAACGGGAAAATTTCACAAGCAGCCATCCATGACGCAGCCGACTTACCCGTGGCGCCCAGTCCGACATGTCTTTAAAATGGCGCGCTAGCCTTTCGTTTTTGAACGTAACGAAATAAGGCAGCCATATTAAAAGTCTTCTATTATTTTTTAGAACTAGTACGAGTATATGTGAGTTCTACGAATCTGTTGTTTCACTTCTGTTTTTTATGTGCTCATTTGTCTATAACTAAGTAATTGCTGGAAATATTCCTATCTACTTTAGATTTGTACATTTTGCTTTATGTATGATAGATCAATATATTACATAATATTACGTGCATATATATGTATGTGGCAATTGATTGCGAAATAATATTTTGGATAATATTCTAGCAGCTATCTAAATTCTTTAAATATTAGTACTTAGTAGTTAAACCAATATAAAAAATAAGTACATATTTTCTTTAATAACCAACTAATATTGAACATAAAAAATGTAAATAAAAAATGACCATATTATTTGCATCTCATAAAACATTCCTTTATCTAACATATTATTGTTAATTTTCAAAGAAATTTTTAATGATAAATTCGAATAACCTGTAGCCGTAGTGTGATTACCGTTACTGGGATGTTGAATTACTACGTCATACAATGTAGCATACATTTCAGATTGAGCACTGAACGACTGACAATGTAGCAAGGAAACGAACAATGTATGAGCCGTCATAATCGTAGCTGAAGTTAAGTTAAGGGCACTACGCCATGTGTTCGACGAACATCCCCAAGTGACGGACTTACCATCTGTTGCCTCAGAATGTCTTTTGGAAATGGCATCTTCATCATATCCATTAGTATTATTGGGACAATAGTTCAAAACAATTATAATTTTTTCTCATTAACTATACCGCATAATATATGAACCGTAATTAAAATAAAAACAACGTACAGTAATAACATTACGATTTTTACTATACAGAGAGAATAAAATCTACTTCACGGGATACTAATACACACCACAAAATACTAGTCATTCCGATACCATTTTTAAAGCAATCTTTGTTTTGAAGATAAATCAGCATATGCAATTATAGATATTATACCGTTCAAATAAGAGTTATAATGCATTGAAATGATTCGCATTTAGTTTTTAGTTCGGCGTCGCGTGTCGCATGTCAATGACTTGGCAGAGCCCGAGCACTGCGCGCAATGGACGCAAAACAGAAAAACTCCGATTGTTATACTGCTGGCAACATGTAGCTGTACTTCTAGGTATTAACCGACCTTCAGAAAAGGAGGTAAAGATGTTAAACATCTTTGTTCTTTGTTCAATATTGTTTTAAAAGTTCTACTTATATATTTTGTAGAGTAAGGATTAAAATATTTACTAATATCTTTCGTCTTTGATCGGAGATCCAACTCCTGGCAACAACTTTTAGCACCTTAATGCACAAGGTACAACCTTTTTAAAATTTAAAATTAGGTTATATATCGTGGAATGAAGTCAATACTTCTGTCAAGCGACATCATGCGAAGTTGCGATATTAAATAAAGGCAAAGAATATTTTTTACTTTATACCAGTGGAGTTTGTTAAAATTATAGGCTTACGTAAAGTTCCTTAATAGAATTATAATTATTGCCGAAATTTGTAACGAATTCAATCTATTGTTTTTGTATTCTTTGCCTTTAAAAGTTTTCGAGGATATTTTTGGTATGTTCTTGTTCTCTTATACGTACCCGTACGTCAATTGAAAATAGATTTTATTCCTAAGAATATAAAGTCTAAAGTGTAATTGATTACATATTTATCTGTATGATTGGAGTTTGTGAAATTACCAAGATATTTTTGAATGTTATAAGTAGTTTTATTTATTATTATATTTAAATTTGTTATAATATATCTATTTTGACAAAGTAAAATAATTATAAAAAATAAATAAATGTTTTAGAAATCAGAAGTATTTAATTATTATTTTAATTTCTAGTATCTCTACATTTATAGAGTTGAGTCTTAATGAGCACCGCGCTAGTTAATAACTGATAATCTAGACAACCACCATGGTCGGCCATAAATGAAATCACCACTGCTATGACCCAAGGCTCCTCGTGTTTCTAACCATGGACTTGTTTCGATGCCACGCTATACAAAAGGTGGCCGCGATATTATGCCCTGTGTACAACGCGCACGGTGCCATTTGCATCGTTATCACTCCTTGATAACGACAGCGCTCGGAATGGAATGACAAACGAAAACAAACCTAAACTTTTCCAGAGCCAGCGCGTAAACAAGGCGGCCGCGCGTCTCGAACCGACCACCTCGATTTGCTCAAATAGATTAATAACAATTAAGACCGAATTGGCACAAGACGAGAATATTCTGCATGACAAGCTAAGGTCGTTCGAAAAAGAGGCGTTATTTCAAAATACCTATTACGGAATTTCAGGACCGAAATCAACTTCATAACAATTAACGATACGACCCCCGCCTCTAAATTCCTCGCCCCGAGCGTGCCCGCTATACGTGGCGATACGACGCCTTCGCATAGATAGAATAGAGAGCGGTTTCGGAACGCACCCGTACACGCGCGGCTGTGTGCGAGCGCGGCTGTGTGCGCGTGCACGTGAACACGCACACAGGCGCGCCGCCGGTGAGCGCTGTTCACCGCACTCTGTGAGCGCAAACAACCATCTATAAGGCCACGCTATAGCTGACAGAGGGACGCGCCGCGCCACAAGCCGCTACATTATTTATATTTTTCTTGTTTTAAAATTGAATTTGTATGGATTTTTGACTGTAGTTTTGTTATAATGATTTTTGTATAAGAAATATTAAAGTTATTTATTAGCAATAAATATAACAGCGTGTATTAAATTATTATATATTACTATCAGATTTTTTATTTAATAAAAAAAATATTCTTGTGAACATTATATATATATATATATATATATAATATAATTATACCTAATGATAGAAACCTATATAAACGATATGAAAGAAAGAAAATAGTGTTAATTTAATGGAAACAATTCTTATATAATATGTAACATTTATTATTTCGATCGTTATAATTTCTTTGATAGAAATAACTCTCCTAAAAAATCTACAAAATTAATAAATATCAAGTAATAAAATCAATTGTCGTTTAACTTGGTCAAAAATACATTTTATTTTCCATCTTAATTATAATAATTTAGAAAATAAATTTAACATTAGGAAAGATAAGACTTAGTAAGATTTACGGCCCTTTCCTTAGTTTGATTTTGTTTTCCTGAACAATATTAATACATATTTAAATTATTTTAAAGAGATAACGTAATATTTAGTACTAGCGACTAACCCTCGCTCCGTTCGGGTTCGTCTCTACGTACGATTTAACGGTTAGTATAGATGAGATATTTTCCTGCAGTAAAGAGTAATCTATTTGTCGACCCGGATAATCAGCTATCATTATACCAAATTTCATCAAAATCTGTCCAGTGATTTTCTCGTGATGCGTTCCCAGACAGACAGACAGAAAAAAATTCTAAAAACCATAGATTCGGCCTCTGTTTCGATAATAATGGCTATCTCAATAAGATTTTCCAAAAATATTTAATGTACTTTTTTCTTCGACTGTGTTAGACTTTTATTGTATGTGTAGATTTTATTTAATTTTGGTAGAGTTCTTTAACGTATTTGCTAAGAAATGATTATAGTGTATAAGAAAGAAATAATTTGTTTTAGTCATTCTCATATAAACATTATATAATTTAAACAACGAAATTTATAGATAATGTTTGTTGTAAGCTTGAAAATTGTGAATTTAGCTCATTTTAATAACACTCTAGAAAAGTTAATTTCATATGGAATGTGTAGTGATTTTTTTAGCTTGGTAATTTATAAATGTGTTTTTTGTTTTAATAATATTTGAGTGATTATACGTTAAAAGAAAGCATTTTTAGCATTTTTACGAAATATAATTAATTATGATTTCTCATTAAACTTGGTGCACAACAACCACCCAATATAGTTTCAAGGAAAGCTTATCCTACACTTTATATTTTACCTGTGAAACAATTTGAATAAGTCATTCTATCACTTTAAAAAATCTAAAATAAACTTCCCATACAAACTAAATAGTAAAACAGTGTACCGGCTTGAGGCGCGGCGCGGCCGGTATATTTCCGACATAATACCGCTGCGTCGAGCGATTACTACTATATATTCTATATACATTTAATAGCTATACAGGCGCGCATAGAACTGGCCGTACTTATGTGAGCGCTACGAAGCCGTCCTCTATAGCGCTGTAGCGCTTTACGACGCAGCTCGTTTATTCGAATGTTATATTAAAGCGCTTCAACGCTATGTTTTCTGGGAGCCCGGCTTATTATTATCGTAGATTGGCGTCGGCGCAACTACACGGCGTTAGAAGGACGTTCCGTTTTAAATATCAGGTTTTATTATTATGAAGAGCGGCGCAGCGGAGTGCGGACGGCGGACGGCGGACGCGGAGGGTTGCGTGCGATAACATTTGACATTCGTAATTAGCAGAGCGCGGTCAGCGTCGGCGGACATTCCGCTGGAGTCCGTGGGGCCGAGCAAAGAGGTCGCGTTGCGTCAGCGAGCGGGCCTCGGCTTAGCCGCGCGGACACCCGCTGCCCGTCGCGACGCCATCGCCGCATTTCGTTTATGAAACCAACGCCAGCCTTGACGTCCTATGCGATTATATTCAGACTCTACATTTCCAAATATGGCTTATTTTCATATGAATATGACTCTACAAAAAATGACCTCTAAATTTGGAAATTTCTAATACTGTTTATTATAAATAAAAGTAATAAAATCAGATAAATGTAGAGTTGATAAAATGGATAACATAACGCGGAATTTAATTAAATAAAAATAATATTTAGAGTAGGCTATTTGTTAATAAAATTAAAATAATATTTAAGTTATTATTAAATAGTTATTATTTGCGAGAAAGTTATACTTAGAACATTATGATTCTTCGATTTATTCACATATCAGTGCTCGTGCTTACCAAATCCGAAATTCCAAACCCGTCTAATGAGTCCAAAATTCAAATAAATTTCAAATCTGCAAGCAAAAAGTAACTTTATCGTTCTTGATATAAGGTTCATGTGATATAAATATGGGATTTTATATTTACGTCAGACAAAGTCAAAGAGCAGTAATAGAGATAAAAACGAGCGAGGAAAACATCGGCGCTGCGACAGCGATACCAACGAACGTGTAGTGTAAGGCCACATTAGACAGACGAGAATTTTAAATATTTGAAAATAAACCTTACTTCGCGGTAACATGGACTAAAATTCCTTGTAGTAATATTGCAGTTGACACTGTGTGTTCGAACGTTGACATAAGTCGCGAAATCATAATGAGCTCGGAATAGGATATTTTAGAAATGATATGTAATTAAAAGTTTTTAACATAATTTTATTATGAAATATATAAAATCTACATAAAGCGTTATTAGTGGAACTAATGTATAGGAAGAGATATAAATAGACAAGGACTTCTAAGTTTTAGCTATGATTGCCTTTAAGATTGAACGGTATAAGTTAACGAGCGCGCCAAATCTAAGGCTGCCACTTCTATTGTACTCTATTCTACGGTAATGAGAATAAGATGGGTACACAGACTCCTTTGCGGATCACCTGCAAAGAATGGACAAGGTGTGCTCAACTCATTATAACACGTAATCCGTTTCTATGCTGAAATTTTCCATTTCAGAAAATATACGAAAGCTTATAAATCGTATTTATATTAACCTGCATTTTTGAACAAAGGAGTGTATTGTTTCTTTGTTTCAATTTTCCAGTGATCGTTGGAAATAATAAGCTATCCGCGAATGTATTCGAAAAAATATTTTATTATAACTCATCTCGTTGAAGTAGTTGAATTTTTTTATCTTTAACTCTAGCTCAGTACTGGTGCTTTATCAGCCATAGCATATTTTGAGCATTCCATCTTCGAATTTTGTAAACAAGAAAAGCCTAAAATAACATGATTTTTTTTAAACTTAAGTTATTTTTGTTGTTTCTTAAATTATTTAACAGGTTATTTTTATATATATGTACGAGTATAACTACCGAATATGTAACGATTTTTGTAACATTTATTTATATTACATTATTCTATTTCCACAGTCTTTTTTTGTAAAAATTAGAAAGTTCAAAAAAAAAACATATTTTCTGTAATTAAAGGGTATAATAATGCTTATTTACAATGCAAACTATTTGCTATAGAAATTCTGTTTTAGCACTACACGTTGATAAGTGTATGATCACACAGGTTCACTATATGCGGGGATTGAACTTGTGAACGCGCGTTTCTCTTCTTCGAGTTGCTCTATTATTTTAGAAAGAAGAGTTAGATTCCAGTTTTTGTTTTTAAATCAGGAAAAATATTAATCGATTCTAAACATAAAGAAAAGTGAGAGAGAGAGAGAGAACGTGAGAGAGAGAAAGAGAGAGAGCGAGATAGAGTTAGCTAGGTGGGTAATAATATTAATACTTTTTGTTATAAAATTACGAGGTATTTACTTATTTCCCTTTTTATTTATGCATACCCCATGACGTATGTAGAGTTTATATTATCACTTAAAAGTCACTATTTTTAAATGTGCATAGTGAACTACCAATTTATGGTTCAAAGTGTGACGTGTACTATGACTCAATAACAACGTTAGGGGAGTTATATCTCCGAGATAGTAAGTTCAATCTGAACTGGGAAACCCGCTTCGTCAGGAATTATATCGTTTGATTTAATTATTTTCCTTATATTATTTGATTCAAAATTTCAAAATGTTACAAGAAAGCTTATCAAATAATGAGCTTTCTATAATATATGTATATTTCACAATTACAATATTTTTGAAGATTCGTAAATATTTTACTAATAAAATAAAGGGATGACCTGTAGAAAATTCTATATCTTCGTTTTCTTCTCTTCAATTTTTTCGAAACAAAAGAGTTTTGTTTATTATGCTCTTAACGACTTATCTTTACCATAAATCACTTACCATTTTGTGGTCATATAGTGAACTTACCAGAAAAGAAAAATGTCGTGGAGGATTGTTATTAATTAATTTTTGAAATCCTGCCCTAGCTTCGTTTTAAATGTCCTAACTACGTTACACAGTTCTTCGGTAACTTTCTACAATAAATTAGTATTTGAAGGGAACCACTTAATGTATGAGGATAGTAAAAATGAATCGATCTATTGATTCAATGAAAAACTAGCATTAAATATTTTATTTTATAATTCAATTAACTTAAGCTATACCTAAACAACCTGTTTAATCTTATCAGGACCAATATCTCTACGATTATTGCAAACCTGGGAATCGAACTGATGACTATCGGTATCGTAGAAAGAACTAGTTATATACATATTTATATTATTGTGTTATAATGTTGACGCTGATCATAGTAATTGCATGTACACATTTTCAAAATGTTAATTCGTTTATTTTAAATGATGATGTACAAAAACCCTGTTCGTACTATTTCATTTTGAACGTCGATTTTATCAAATGAGATTATTTTATACTAGATTCATTAAGTGGCTTTGCTCGTGTGTGTCATTTTTTTAGACCAAAACCATCAAAAATAATTCCTACCGTTTATGGGAAGTTCGTAGAACGGAATATTTAGATAATATTGTATGCATCATCTACGTAACCATATAAAAAGAAACTTAGCTTTTAATTAAAATTCTTATTTGTCTGTTAAATAAAAAAGTCATTAAAATTTACTCAGTTGTTTTAGAGTAAAGAAAATATATATAGGTCTAGATAGACTAGAGGTAGAGAATATTTACTTTTTATAATTTGTTTAAAAAATGCCATGAAATAAAAGTTCTCTTGTATGTTTATATAGATTAAAATACTCAATACTCTATGTCGTTTGTTCATAGAAATATACCTTTAAAATATTATTTTTTTGCTTGCCTTTTAAGTAGTAAATCTACTGTTTCTCTATGTGTATACTAAACAAAACCCACACCTCATAATATGTTTCCGTTATTTTCGATACTCAGGATAGGTAGTGTACTAGTATAATGTAGGTTTTAGTTTTGTTAGAATTGACCAGGTAGTCTTGACCTTAATTTTATGAAGGATCCCGTAGTGCAGAGAGCTCAACTTCTATCTTTGAATCTACTCAACAAATTGAAACTCGACTATATTAACTAATGAGACTGCGTTATACGAAAAAGTTCTTTATTGTACTCTCAGTTAAATTACAAATTCATTAAAATTAGAACATCAGATCGTGATGTCGAAAATTACGACGAAAATTCTCCGCTTACTTTTTTCTCCAAAAAAACTAAAAATTAAGTACTAAGACTGAATGGCGGCACTTCGTTTTATCTCTACTATAAGCAGGGCGTGATAAATATTTATAATTTATATATATATTAACAATACATCTATCATATAATAAAATTGTAACCAAGCCGAATCTGTACATTAGATATATTTTGGAAAATCTTATTGAAATAAACATTATTATCGATACAGAGGCCGAATAATCTCATTTTTGAGAAAAAATACAAAAACAGCAATGTAAGAATATACTAATATGTAAAACCTAAGAATTTGGTTTTTGGTCGTTTGAACGCGGGCGGAGCCGCGGGCAATGCTAGTACATAATATACCTTTAATAATACACATACCTTTGGTACATGTAGGCGATGAAAAATAGAATGTGATATTTTTTTAAAGTAAGAATATCCCTCAAAACATGTTATTTAGTATTAAAATCATTTATTGATTTTGATATTGTAACTTCTAAGGTTTTTGGATGTGGCAGCCCTTATGCTCTTTATTGTCGATAAATGATCATTCGTAAAACATACTGGCTTTTTATATTGATATCATTTTTGTTGTATCAGAATATCTCTACTACATTAATATTTTTGGTAAATATTCAAAACTTGATATAATACATTAAATATCGTGTTTGAAGTTGTTACAATATAATCAAGCCTTAAAAAAAACTAGTGACTCACCCTCGCTTCGCTCGGGTTTATCCCTAGGGTATGTATACAACTTCCCTATTTGAATCGGATATTATTAAATTTTTCATTGGTCTTAATTTTTTTTCGTGGGGACCCTATTTTTTTTCTAAAATAAAAGTAGCCTAAGTTACTCCTTATCTGCCAGTGAAAGTCCCGTCAAAATTGGTTTAGCCATTTCAGAGATTAGCTGGAACAGACAGACAAAAATTTAAAAACATGTTGTTTGGTATATGTATCGTGTGTACATCCATAATATGCATTTAGTAAAAAGCTGTTATTTTGACATTTCAAATAGACACTTAAATTTTGATTTATCTGTATAGATTTGTTTTTGAGTAATGTTACCATCTTATAAATATTGACAAATATTGACATTAATATTTATACGATACTAACGTCACTCAATTGTTTTACCTTCCCGGAACCTCTCCACTAACACTTAAACTTTATGGTATGTTATTAAAGTTCAAATTGACTTTTAAATATTATTACGAATCTTTTGTATGGGAGTATAGAAAAGTGTATTTTTTAGACTTTTTCAGGCTATTTTTTTAAATTTTTCTCTCCGTAAGAACCATCCTCGTACTTCAAGAAATATTCTAAAAAAAATTTAGCGAAATCGGTTCAGCTGCTCTCGAGATTTGCGCTCAGCAACACATTCAGCGATTCATTTTTATATTATAGAAGATATTATGTAGCCGAAGCCAACAGTGGCCTTTTGGTCCTTTGGCTTACTTCTGCTTAGTATTTTAAACAAAAAATTATAATACGATGTACTAAAGGAGATCTTAAGATATTTTCCAATTAAGATATATATCTAACCTGCTGAAATAAGCACTTCATAAAATTTTATATTATATGTATATTGTATTTAGAATATATACGTAATATGCACTTATTTGTACGTGTTTCAAATATATTGTTGTACTATTTATGGTTGATATATAATTAATAAATAAAAATATATATTTAATTAACAACCAGTAAAAGTTCTGTTAAAATCTAAAGCTAGTCCTCGTTCTCCTCCTGAATATTAAAAGCTCATGTCATCATGTCAAACTTGTGTACTATATCTCCTACGCACTTGGCTAGTCCGAGCTATATTGGCCGCCATGACCGAAATTGGCCTCCTGACCGATGATTGTATGTAACATTTATCCAAATTCTATCTGCTTGCTTCAAATGGTTACTTTTGTTTAGGTAATTTGCAAGCATTACATAAATATTTGAAAATTAAAGATATATACAGAAAATAATGGCCAAATTATAAAATAATTGTTGTTTAGTACAAACCTTTAGGGATCTAACAGTTAAATAGAGTTTTATACAACGTATTTTATTTTTGTCTAAATGGATATAAATTATAAAAGTACGGCGGATTGACAACTGAACTAACTAGTTGCATGGTTACAAAACGATTAATAATTAATTTAAAATAAAATATTATATTTATTTGTTTATTATCATTACCACGTATATAAATTCTTTGTCAAAAAAAGGAATGACGTAAATTGAATTTAATTTAGAATGGTTCGTAGTTTGCACTTTTGTTTACTTCTAGACAGACGGTCCTCAAAGAGCCACTGGCAGCGTTTAGCGGTATTTTTTTCTTATTATTTAACTTCTTTTTGTTCAATTTTTAGTTATATAATTACTCATCATATTTAAATAATTATATAAAATATGATTATTTGAATCATTTTAGCAAAGTAAATTTAAAATATGGATGATCACTTTATTTCTATTATATAACAAAAAGTTGGTGCTATGTATTTATCAAAACAATTTTATATATTTGAATAACGTAATGGCGTAAATAAAGTTAATTTGAATTTAAGAATTTGTGAAAATGACAGGTAATGTAAACATTGTATCATTTGGTTTTTCTCTACATATTAAATGAATAAATATGTTAGGACATTAACACACAGCACTATCTAGTTCCATGGTAAGCTACGAGGCTTGTGTTATGGATATTAGATAGTTGGTACACTACACATATATAACTTTAAATAAATATATATTATAAATATAAACAGCCATGACTGGAGTACAACATTCATGCTCATCACACAAATCAGTGCCCCCAGCGGGACTCGAATCCGCGACCGCTGGCACAGCAAACAGGGTTACTACTAACTGAGCCAAACGTGTCGTCACATATTTCTTATCTATACATATAATAAAATACAAGTAAAAAAGTGAAATCTGTATATTGTATATATTTAAAAACCTAACAATTACTGTTAAGTAATGTGTATAGAATATAGATATACCCCAAAATTATAGTTGTCGAATCTCAAGCCAAAAGTACTGAACGGATTTTAACTAAATTTTGTATAGTGATATCTTACTATTCGTGTCAACATTTAGGATACCTTTTACTACAGGAAAATCTCTTATTCCCACGGGAAAACACAATAACTGGTTCGGCCGAGTCCTTCGTACAAAAACTTGAATGATTTACTACACAAAAACTATTAATAGAAGAATTAAATTCATGGGAAAATACAAAATGTAGTTCGGGCACAAGTCGCTCATCATCATCTATAGGTACATATGTAGTAAACAAAGTCGCTGTCTGCTTCTGTCTGTTTCTTCGCTCAATTCTAATCCAAGCAAAGAATTATGATACGGTTTTCATAAATAGAAAGAGCGATCTATGAGAAAGGTTTGTGTATATAAATTGTAATAGTTTGTACAAAATGGCTGAACTATGATATGATAAAGGTTTTTTGTCAAAAAAAACTGTTTTCATACGCATATATACCTAGTTAACACTGACTAAACAATGTACTAGAATTCGTAGGTTTTAAAATGGTCTACGCAAAAGTCCAGGATTGTTTGTGCCTATCTCCTACAGTAAGACCATGGACGCATCCAAATAAAGTCAGTTTAAGCCGGTAGTATGAAATGTTTTCATTTTTCATTTACCGTTCTACAATGTTAACAGTAAATTTTTTAGACCTATTGATGATTTGAGTAATAGAAGCTGACACTTTA